GGTGCTTATTTTTAGCATATATATAAATGTGAGGGTGCTTATTTTCGGGGGGTGCTTATTTTCGGAAGTATACGGTAATAAAAATTATTAATGTTTTTTAAAAAATTGCTTTTAATAATATTAATTGTAAAATCATGTAATTTATAAAAAAATTCTTTTAATTGAAAATAATTTTCCATTATAAAACATTATTAAAAATAAATATTTTTATTTAAAATACTTTATTTTATTAAAAAATTTATTCTTTTAAAATTATAAAAAAGATTTTTTAAAAAAATTATTTTCTATTTATATTCTTAGAAACTATTAAAAAGAAAGATTAAAATAAACTTTAACAATTAATATTCTTTTAAAAAAAAGATTTTTTTATTAAATATTTTTTTAATAATTTTTGTATTAAAAATATTATATTTAAATTAAAAAAAATAAGATGATTTTAATAGTAAAATTTCAAGTGTTATAAAACTGATTAAAATTAGTATAACAATGTCTCATAGGGTGATTTTAATAGCAAAATCTCAAGTATTACAAAATTGATTTCAAGTATTAAAAATTAGTATAGCAATGTCCTGTAGGGTGATTTTAATAGCAAAATCTCAAGTGTTATGAAATTAATTTCAAGTTATTACAAAAATTAGTCTTGTAAAATAATTTTAATAACAAAATTTATATATTTTATAATAGCAAATTTTTAAATATTATAAAATAATTATTTAATAGTAAAAATTTTAAATAATAAATTTTAATATTATTTTAATAATTATTTGACTTAATATTTAAAATAGAATAATTTATTATTGATTAAAAATATTTACTTTCTATATAATGTTTTCTAGATATGTGAAATTTTTACGTGAAAAACAAAATTAACGATAATAAACTGCATGTTGATTAAACAACGACTGATCGTAAGTGTGTATTAAAAAAAAAAAAATATTCAATGATATCGAACCGGAAAGATTGTAGTAGTCGTGGTAGAAAGAATAGAAAACTCCGCTTATTTGATGACTACAGGAAGCTGAATACCATCACTAAGAAAGATAACTAACCTAACTAATATTGTTAAGTATAAAGATCTTACTGCAGTAAGCGACGCATACTCATAATACAATTGCCACATAATAAGTTTTTACTGCGTCATCAGTTGATGCAAGCGATTTTTTTTTTTAAAAGAAAAAAAGTATGTTTTTAAAAATTTATATGTTTAGTGATATTCCTCTTCACTTACAAGTATCTTGGCTACGGCAAAGATTAGAGGTTACTTTTTTTAGATTTTTATTAGCTGCGGCAATATGGAAAAGAAGATTCGAATTTTTTTTTTTGAAATCTTTTTTTATAAATTAAATTTTTTTACTTTCTTATGATTACTACGGGTGCGCCAATTATTTGATATTTACCTCCTAATTTCGAGTTAAGACGAAGGTGATATTTTATAATGAGATCAATTAACAAAATTATATTGAACGATAATTAGCGAAGAAAGGTTACAAGAATTTATTAAGAAATTAGGAAAATACGAAAGAAAAACCAAATATTACTTCCTCACTCTGCGCTCTTTAAGAGAAGATATCCAAATTTCTCTATCTAGACATAGTCTATATAGAATAGATGACGAATTCTTTCAGGACTGTGTGATCCTAGGCATTTTAGGTCAGAAATGACAGAATGGAAAGCAATTTCCGAAGTCAGACGCAGTTGGTGATACTATGCCTCGTCCATTATGATAATAATGCCTACTGAATCTTGACTTTGTCCAGAACTATTGTCACTTATTTTGCTTTGTGTAGGCTTCCCGTCTTTTTTCTCAATCCAATTAGTATTAGGTTGTGGGTCTGCGCAGATAAAAAATCAAGACAATGATTATCGAGTCTGAAAACTGTGTACTGTAAGGCAAGAATGAAATTTTAAATTTTTCTAGATCCAAGCTGTTTGTTTTTCAATGTACGTATTTAAATCGAGAAGAAGTTCATCGGACGGATTTTTAATTAAAATCGTTGTTATACTTCCTGTATAAGCTAAGTCAATCGTAGGATCACTAATAATAAACAATTTGCATAACGAAAGAAGGATTTATATGATCATATTAAGGTTTCCGAGCAAACCTTGATGGCATCGAAATCGAAATCCGTCGAAACCCATCGAAATCAAAAGATTTCGACTTTTCTTAAAATGGTTTTAGGTTTTGCCTCGCAACCTTAGATCATGTTTATTAAATGAAATGTAATTCTTGTTATATACATTTTATACATATCACAAAACTTTATTTATTATATTCCAATACATTATTTATTTATTACAATAATTGTGATCTAATTAAACGAGAACGACCAAATGAAATAAGAAATACAAAAAATAACCCTACAAATTCTACTGTAGCAAAATATTTGCGATGGTAGGTAACTCCAAAAAGTACTCAGAAAGTTAAGAGATCCCGCTCATGAACGCAATTTGATTGATCCGTAAGGGAAGGTACATAACAATTTCTACACCAGAAAAAAGCAGAACCTTACCAAAGAAACTGCATTCATGAATGCTTGACCAACTTCTTGAAGCATCATCCTCTTGAAGCCATACACTGTTGGCTTGCAGTTAAGTCTAATTCCCACATCATGCTCAACCGCTCGCTACGCCGTGGACTGTACCGGATAAATAAATTATTACGAAATCAATCATATACTGCCCTTCCGGTCAATCGGTTAAAGGACTTTGAACGATCGCCGACAGTTAGCATCTATATTTTGATTTAGAGGATATTTATGGGAAATTCAACTTATTTAACGAGTTAAGTGAGATAAAAAATAATGGTATAAAGAAAATGATGGAAACGGTTTATCTATTAGAAGGTTCAATGATTGACGGAGTGATTAGCAAAGGTTTATTTTATAAAGAAATTGGCTCGACTCCTTCATTGTTTAACTCCAAATACAATATATACAATATATATGTAAATAAATTATATAAAAAAATGTTCAATATATCCAGAATTTTCTTTACTTTATTATTTATCTTCGATTAAGCTAAGAGAAGAACATCTCGATAGTTAATCAATTAAAAACCTTTACCTTCAATAATACCTTGTGGCTAAATTTCGTTTCATGTAACGCGTTGTTAAGCCTATAGCTATGATAATAAATATAATAATTATAATAATGATAAACAATAAATTAAATATACGATGATAGCCGTGATAATAGTAAAATCAGTGAAAATAATGATCACAGTATTCATGGTGATCATTGGTAACAATTAGTTGGCGCAATCATTTAGTAGCGCATACGGATTATCACTAACAGTGTGCAAGTTAAGTCCTATTAAAATGCAATCAATACATTAATTATAAATAAATGAATTAACACCATTCAAGATGTAAGAAATTACACCATAGGTCTTTTCTCATTTCGATGCATTATTGCATTCTTCGCTTCATTTTAAGTACCGATTCTATTTGTGTAACCTTTGTGTGCATGACTTTCCTTTGGGAAAATTGCCGCAATAAACCGGTCTGTATAATTATTCAAGGCGCCCTTGGATTGCTACCCAAGTGTAATCAGGTTTCGCATCTCATGAACCTGTTTAGAATTCATGTGTCACTAAATTTCGTGCTTCTCTAATTAATAAAAAATTCTTTTGATTTTAGGTATTGATTTTTTACTTTATTTCTTTTTTTCAGTGATACTTGAATTGGCTGTTCTTGGTATTTGAAGATGCCTTAAACCTTGGAAGAAATATATTAAAAAATACTTAATATTTAAGTTTTAAGCTCAATCCCATCCCCATTGAAGAGTTCATGGTCATTCCAAGAGATATACTTGAACCCTTCATAGAGAATAATACTGCTAATATCAATTCTGTAGCAAGTAGTTGCGATTTATGGTTAAAGTTCATTCAGTAGCAAATGATTGTGAAATATATCCGTACTTCATATCGCCAAGTAAGTCGAAAGAGTTTAGATCCTTGGATCCATTGTGAATGGTAATTAAAATTAATCAAATAGCCTTTTTTTTTTAGTTTATATGAAATGGGAGAGTATACATCCCGCAATATATTTGATGCAATTTTTCTTTATAAATATTTTAAAATCTTTCAATTTATAAAATTTATAAGTCAAAATGATTATGGTGTGCATGAATTTCATTCCGAGGAGAGTAAGCTCGTTTTATTGGTGATATCATAATTAAAGTTTGTCTATTATTAAATAGTTTGACATAACGAATGACTTTAATACATCCTCACAGATATAGGTCACTGGACCAGTATCTACGAAGAAGTGTACAACCTTGATCTTCTTACAGTCATTGCACAAAAAAGCCGGTACCATAATTCCTTTAATATTGTCATTAAATTCTTCCGTGGAGCTAAGTCTTTCTGATATTTATTGTTTTCCCGAAACGTCCGTTAAATTATTCAGTTCATCCATCCATTTCACGAACATTGCTTCTATTATTTTCAAAAAAATTTACTACCATAAGTTTTTCTCTAACATTCCACTGTCTCCGTCATTTTTGTAGTAATCGGTTGCGTGATTTTTTGTTTTGTTTCTTTCCAATAACTACCATTTTACACTTTGCATTACAAATAAAAGATAAAACAAATTTTGTAAAACAAAAATAAGAACACGTAAAAAGATATATAAAATAACGAAACTTAAAAAATAAGGAAAGCATATTTATTTTTCTCAATAAGGTGAACAGCTTCAAGCTATCTATGAGAATAAGATAAAGCACATCATGGGAAAATGTAGATTTTTCAATACTATATTTAGAATTATTGGCTGGACGTAAGCTTTAGATGGAAATTTATAGTTATGGTGAAATGTGTTACAGATAATATGATAGATCGAGTTAGTGGCAAGAGGATATTATACACGGTAAGTACCCAGAGTACTTTACAATTTCTGTACCCCTCCTATGTATAGTATCTACCAGTGTAATGTATCCCCAGGTATAGCCAAAATCGCTAAAATTTGCAAAGGACCTGGGGTACTATGGCTCGCAATATACGGTATAAGAATAAAATAAAAATGTTAACTAAGTTAAAAATGCTAATGATGTTAATAATGTTGATCATTCATCAATCTTTGTGACACAGTAAGATTGATTTCATATGGTATTAACATCATTTCTTTACTAATATATTTTACATTACATTATATCTTTTACTAATATTTTTCTAATTACAAATTCTAATATCTCTTTTAACTTTCATTTTCAACTTTATTTTATTCCTATTCCTTCTTAATCCTTCTTTATGTTTTCTTTCTTATTTACTATTCTAAAGATCATTACGTATTCTATTATATATGTTATTATGTATTCTTATAATATCATTATTTTTTATTTTTAGATATACCTTTACTTTCATTAATTATTAATTCAATTTCTTACGTTCTTTCAATTTATATAATAAATTTCTCTTTTTTTTATATTTAAATATATTATAATATATTATGTTCTCTCTTTAATATTTTTATTAATTTTATTTTTATATTATAGATTATATAAATATTTTATAATATTAGTTTGTTAATTTCTTTCATCTAAACCTTTATATAATATTCATGCATATTCTTAGTTTTTTTTCTTTTTTTCTCTTTTAATTTTTCAAGATTTTTTAACTATTCTTTTTCCTTACAATTTTGATTATTTATATTTTTAAGACTTGTAATTTATTTTTTATTATATTTCCTTTTAGTTATTATATAATATTTTAGTTATTATATTATTTTTCATTTATTATATTACATTTAATTATTGTATTTCTTTTTAATTGTATCATGAGATTTGTATTATATTCTAATTATATTATATTCTATATGGTTATATTATTTAATAGTAATATCAGATAATCTATATTACATTACATTATTCTAGTTATTTTATTCCTTTAATATCATGTGATTTCTGACTAATTATTTTTTCTTCATGACCTTCCATTCAATTAATTATTTCCTAATCTTCTATTATTATATTTTCTCGAATTTTATCTATTTTATTATAAAAGATCATGTAATATGTTATTTAAAAAATTTTTAACTTTACAGTATTAATATTAACTTAGTAATAATATTAGATATTAGTATTAGTATTGAATTTAGCTAAATAAAATATAAAAATTTTAATTATTAAAAAAATTCATATTAAATAAATATTTTATTATTGATTTTAAATTTTTATATTTACAGTAGTCTTCTATTATTAAATTTTTACTATATAGTTATTTATTGATCAATATTTAAAATAATAATTCTAATATTTAGTAAAATATTAGAATATTAACTAATCTAATAGTCTAATCTATTATAATAATAATAAGTATTTGATGAACTATAATAATTTCAAAAATAATTAGAAATAATTAAAATTATAATAATAATATAAAATTATTATTATTTTTATTAATTTATTTGAATTTGATCATACTGTTAGTGATAATGATTCTGATGATAATTGTAGTAATAGTAGTTATAATAGTTATGATAGTTATAGTGATAATATTATGTATATTATATTTATTATTATTAATATTAATAATAATAATAATAATAGTAACGATAATAAAAAAAAGAAAGGAAAAGGTTTAGATAATTGTAAAGTTTGTGAATAAAATGATTGTAATGATTATAAAGACTATAATTATATTAGTATTAAGAATTTTGATAATAATAGTAAGATTTTAAAAGGATATTTAATGTATTTTATATACCGTACTATTCCAAAATTAAGCAACTCCTGAAAATAAGCAACTCATCAATTAGTATAGATCTGAAAATAAGCAACTCATAAATTCCTGTAATTAAACATAATAATTAAATATAATAAATATTAAAAATAGCATTAAATTTATTAATAATGTATTTTTATTATAAAATATTAATTAATCTAAACTACAGTAATTAGTAATATTATTCATTGTTATTGCTTTCGCCATCATCACTATCATCATCATCACCATTACCATCATCATCATTATCATCACCATCATCGTCACCAATAATATTATCACTAGAATCTTCATTATCATCATCTGATATGCCTAAAGAAGTCAAAATCTTGCAAGTCTTGAAAGACTTTATAACCATTTTGTTTGTAATTTCTTTTCAAACACGTTTGACCT